TTTTAGACAAATTTCTTTACACTTTTATTCTTTCACAATGCAGTCATTTTGACTGCTTTGGGCAATATAGGTATATACTAAGTTTCAGTCTTTCTAGTGTTAATATTGTAGATTATTCTCCAAGTTTCCACTTTACATTCAGCATCTGTTCTACATTTTCCATAAAATCTACTTACTGTTTCGAGCTGGCGATGGTAGAAAATTGCAGCAATTTTCTGAACGACTGATGGAACCACTTCGGATCGTTTCTTTCTATTCCGAACTGCTTTTGACGAGTCTCGTGCGAGTTGAAGATCGCAGCTCGCCAAATCATATTGAAACCGAGTGTGAGTACTCTTTCGACGAGAGGTAGATTCGAATCATTGGAATGGGTGTTCGAACGCTTTGTGAACAAGGAAAATCACAAGTACAAAGAGCCGTCATCAATTAGACCTCTTCCCTTTCAGCTCCCCTTCCCCGGCAACCAAGTATTCACTCAATGAAACCACATCAACCATTAAAAATCCACTAGTCCACCGTCTCACAGTTGCTAAATTTATTTAATAATCGATTTGCATTTTTATTCGAAAACATCCTTCAAATTTTTCTACCCTTCACTCTGTCCGACAAATACTGACTATTTCTACTTGCATCCCTTCAGTCCACAAGAATAATTCAACAAAACACTATAAATGAGGTATAGAACTTTCAACACTTTTCAATTTTTTATGAGGCATCCACAATCGTCAAAGGGACTGGAAAACTATTCTTCCCGCAGGTTTCTTCACCAGTTACAATGGAACTTTAAAACGAAGTGCCACTTGTTTTCTAGGTTTTTATGGAATCTCTTGAGAGTCTTGAAAGTTTCACGAGTTCTTGCTTGATTCACAGTTGGGAGAGTTGGCTGCTGAACGGCGAGACGTGTTCCCCTCGTGGTCGCTCGCGCTTTTTTTCTCGCGGAGGACGCGGAGTGACGCGACGTAACTCGGGCAAGTGTCGCGCGCAGACTAAAGACTCGACGTCGCGGGTTTCTAGCACGCGTTGCGCAGGGCTCCCCACGCCTACAGCCCTGAGAGGCCGGAAACACGCAACCCTTCGACGAATAGACGTGTTTCAACCTGTGCGAGACGCATTGCCGCCGAAAGCTAATTCCATAAATGATATTCATGAAGGCGCGTTTTCAAATATTAAGATACATCAGTAAATTGTAGCGACGTTCGATCGTAAATTCTGTCGTTGAGAAATTCATATTACGTTTCGGGGGAATCAGAATTTCTATAAATGATCTCGAGGATTGCTGCCATTTTTTATTTGCAAATTATTGTATCAGATTTTGCATTAGATTTTACATTAGGTGTTGCATTAAATTTTGCATTAGGTGTTGTATTAGGT